TCTTTTTTTCAGAAGAGAGAGTACCAGGAGGAAAAGAAAAGCCCAAAGCACACAAGCCCCTGGAAAGACTGGCATGCTTTGTACAGCAGACATCAATAAGCCTCTGCTTCCCTTTGTGTCCTCCTCAGCCTGGGTCTGTAGGGCACTCTCAGTGAGGCCAAGGCTACACAAAGAAACCCTGTCTCAAAAAATAAAAACCAACTGTCTTAGGGTTTCCATTACTGTGAAGAGACACCGTGACTATCTTAGTCAGGGTTGTATTCCTGCAACAAACATCATGACCAAAAGCAAGTAGGGGAGGAAAATGTTTATTCAGCTTCTACTTACACATTGCTGTCCATCACCAAAGGAAGTCAGGAGAGGAACTCACACAGGGTAGAAACTTGGTAAAAGGAACTGATGAAGTGAACATGGAGGGCTGCTGCTTACTGGATTGCTTCCCTGAGCTCGCTCAGGTTGCTTTCTTATGAAACCCAGGACTACCAGCCCAGGGATGGCACCACCCACAATTGGCTGGGCCCTATTTTCTTGATAACTAATGGAGAAAATGCCTTACAGCTGGATCTCATGGAGGCATTTCTTCAAGGGAAGCTCCTTTCTCTGTGATCACACCAGCTGTGTCAAGTTAATACACAAACCAGCCAGTACAATGACCAAGGCAACTTTTAAAAAGAAAACTATTTAATTTCAGTTGTCTTACACTTTCAGGGTTTCAGTTCAAATATATGTAAATATATTATATATATACATATGTGTATATATATTTTTCCTCAAGGCTCTGCCTCTATAAAAACACACATCCTCTAACAAGGCCATACCTCCAGATAGTACCACAAGCAGCACCAAGCATGATCAAATTACCACACCAACGAAACACACAAAAGGACAGTTATTGAGATAGACTGGGTTTCCATGGTAATGGGAGACAACAGAGGGCTACAGAGGACAATGTTAAAATAATGAATGTGGAACATCAGAAAGGCATAGACTAAAACCCAGGATGTAGGATTGAAAGAAAGGGATGGATCCGTGTTCTTAAGTCAAGTCTCATTTTCCACAGAGGCAATCATTAGGGATGCTTGTACCGTGATGATCTCTCAATGTCCTATGGTTATACAGAGAACAGCAAATTTACTACAACACAATTGTGAAAGTACATCTGTAAAACTGATTGGGTGACACAGCGATAAAGGCTCTTACTGCCATTTTTGACTACCCGAGTGCAGTCTCAGATAGATGGAGAAAACAGACTCTCTCAGGTGGTTCTCTGACCTTCACGCAGGTGTTGTGGCAGTTACAAACACACACACACACACACACACACACACACACACACACACACACGTAAAGGGTGGATGTAATATAAGCAAACCACACTAGCATAGGTTCTGTGAGTTTTAATCAGCTCACTAGCATTGGTTTTTGGAACAAGCAGACTTGATCAACAGAGGACACCCAGAACAACAAACACCCCATATGTGCAGTGCTAGAGGGTGTTGCAGGTATTGCCACTTAGGGGTCTCAACGACCCACAGGCAGGTAAAGCCTGAATTTTCTGCCTGCAGAAGCAGCTGACAGTAACCTTGCCTTAGCCTAAGCCTTGGAAGTGTTGACTGGACTCAAGAGTCAACACATATGTTGAAGTCTAGTAGTTGAGATCAGAAGTGGTGATAATGTAGTAGAACAAAGAGGCATGTTCCAGATCCAGCATGCAGCAGAACGTTGACAGCTTTGGCTACGTGTCTCTGGTTTTATAGTCAACAGGAGAAGGAGACTACTGAGACAACTGGTGATTAACTAGAGCTAAGAAATGAGCAGTGATTAAGAACAGACCAGTATCAGTGAGGTGAAATTGTAGTGCCAGGGAAATGTTAGTGGTCCCCTAAACACAGACAAGAGCAGATCTGATGCAACTCACAGTAGGGTCATTATGCTATTGGAGCTAGCTCTCCCTCCTAACTCAACCAACACACTACTGTCACATGTGGCCTTCCCAGCCTTGAGCAGGGCCTTCTCAGCCTTGAGCAGACTAAGCAGACCTTGAACATTTGCCACTGACAGGTCTTATCCACCTGGACAGAGACATCTGCCTTGGCTGCAGTTGCAGGTTCCCATGGAAACTTAGCTGTTTTGGCTGCCTATGCTACCCTTGCTCTACAACATACTCTAGCTGAAGCAGGGATAGGTTTTGTGGGTTTTCCCTTTATAAACTCAGAGCTGAACATTAAACTTGAAACCTTGATCAGAACTTTGTCTTGGCTTCATTTTTCTCTCCATCTCCTGCCTTTATTCATTTCCAGCTCCACTTTCAGGTAAACCCAATTCTCCTGTGACTGCTGGACAGCTACAGTCACATAGTACAGTTTTGGTAGTGGGGGAACTTGGAATGTCTAACATTATAGTAAGCAGCAAGCAGGGAGTACATGTGCAAGCATCTAATTGGAAAGCCACTGTGGCCTTTAACATAATTGGGTGGTGCTGGGAGTCATATCCTAAACTTAATTTCTGCTCCCCTCTGCATTGGTGGTCATTAGGCAGGGGGTGGGCTTGTAATCTTGGGGTACAGGTTTGTTGGGGGAATTAACCTGGAGACTATGGTCTTGTTGAGGGTATAACCTGCCATGTTTGTTGTTGTTGTTCTTTTGTATATTGCCTGGGGGTTGTGGCTGAAATGCCATCATTTTATGCCATCACAAAATGGCCAGGCTTGGTGACTGCAAAGCTTTCAGTTAGCTCTCATTTGTATGTTTTTAAATGTCATTTATAAAAACTAGCAAATACTGGCTGGAAGAAACAGCTTAGTGGGTCAGAGAGTTGGTTGTTCTTGCAGAGGACCTGGTTTGGTTCCCATCACCCACATGACATCTCACAACCATCTATGACTGCAGTTTAGGAATCTGACACCCTCTTCCAATCTCTGACGGGACCAGGCATATATGTGGTACATAGACATACAGCCAGGCAAAGCACTCATACACATAAAAATGAAATGAGCCTACTTAAAAAAAAAAAGGAACAAACAATGAAAGTATTGGTTTTATGTTTATTTGATTGCTTTGTTTCATTTTGCTTTGCTTTTCAGGTTCATGAACTCTCCTAGCAAATGCATCTAAAATCGAAAGAGGGGAGGAAAGTGTTAGTTCCCAGTGACTGCATCTGTAGAGATCAGCCATACCTTATGCTGTCACTAATAGGCTAAGCTCAGGAAGCTCTCCACTACAGTTTTTTGTTGTTGTTGATGTCTTGAGGTTTTTTTTTGTGTTGTTGTTGTTATTGTTGTTTGCTTTTTTTTGTTTGTTTTTTGTTTTTTGAGACTGTTTCTCTGTGTAGCTCTGGCTGACCTGGAACGTGCTCTGAAGACTGGGTTGGCCTGGTCATACAGATCCACCTGCATCTGCCTCCCAAGTGGGATTAAGGTCTCCACCATACTCCAGCTTCTGTTGCCTTTATTAAAGGAACTAGTCACTCAAAATCCATCTCAGCATACCTCTGTACTGAATCTGAAGAGAATATTTAATATTTAAAACAGTGGGGACCCCAATTTTAGTCAGTGCAACCAAAATACTGGTGACAAAGTCTCTGGTGGTTATTGGAAGTAGAGGCAGTCCATTGGTGTTGAGTCCTCAGTCTCTGGGGACTGAGTTGAATTAGGAAATACATAGTTGCAGTCTTCTGGAGTATTGCTTGTTTGCTGGGTGTGTGGGAAAAGTACAAGACACATACCCGGTGTCCTGTGTTCTATTGGTTATTTGGTGAGATGGTAAGGTAAGCTTCCTGTATCTTTTTACTCAATATGCTCATGAGCTTACTTCCTTTAGGAGAGAGATTCCATAAGAAAAAGCAATTGATAATGCATTCAGATAATAAATGCTACAGCTGGGACAAGCTAAGAGTATAACTTAAAAGTTTGGAATACAGGGTTATCAAGGGATGTCTTAGTGGATAGAAGCACTTGCTGCCAAGCTCAAAGACCAGGAGTTCCATCTGTGGGACCCACATGATGGGAAGAGAGAACTTATTCCCACAGTTGTCTTCACACTTCAATAGTGCCATTACACACACACACACACACACACACACACACAAACACACCCCCCCCCTTCATACACAAACTAAATAAAAATGTGAGTCTGGCTGGGTGTACTGCTTCGTGACTTTAATCCTAGCTCTTGGTAAGTAGAGACAAGCAGATCTCTGAGTTTAGGGTGAGCCTGGGCTAACTAATGAGACCCTTAATAAGTAAGTTTAAAAACATCCGGGTGAATATTTAATATTTTTTGACAAAGGATTTGAGATGACTTGTTAAAATAAAGGCAAGAAGACTACCATGATATAAAACCATGAATGCAGAGTGAATCACATGGAAATGTTGGAGCATCTCCTGTTACCAGACAGGGCTGGGACAGTTAGGGACAAAAGAAGCACAGGATGCAGTTCCTCTCCTCAGGTTGCTCAGTCTGGTAAATGAATAGTTAATCATGATGCAGAAAGATAGATGGTCTGGAGAGCTGTAATCCCAGAAGTGGGGAAGCAGCTGGATTTACACAGTGAGTCCCTGTCTACAGAAAAGAAGAAAAAAATAGGAAAGCACAGTAACATAGTGTTAAACTCCTCTATAAACTCAAAATTCTAGAGGCTGAGGCTAGAGAGTTCAAGTTTGAGATCAGCCTGGGCTACCTAATTAGACCTTGTTAAACAAAAATTAGGAAGGATTCTTAGGACACTATGAGCTGGTGGTTGGCTTCTGTATAAAGTATAGAAACACAGAAATCTGCAGATTGTCAGCTGTGTAAAAACATACCTGTTAGTTTTTAAGTCTGGACAAACATTTGCTCCTGGACTAGTCAGGGGATCTTTACTATTTGTCTCTGAGTAGTTTTTTTCTTTCCACACATTAGAATATAATAAATACTGAATGCTTCTAGAAATCATTAAAATGTCTATGTGCTGAGCAAAGGAATATCATAGCTAATTGTGATAATTAAATTCTGACTTTGATTTCCTGTAGCTTTTTACCTGTGCCTACTCAGCTATCTCAGGATCAACTTGAAGCTGAAGAAAGGGCAAGATCTCAGAGATCACTGCAGACCTCTCTGGATTTGTCTGGAAAGGAACCTCCCTCATATTGATACAGGAAAGGCTGGATTCCACGGTTGCCGGAGGATTTTGGAGATGGAGGTGCTTTTTCTGAAATCCATGTGGCCCAGTTTACTCTGGATATGGGGCAAAAGAAAAAAAAATCCAAAGATCTGCCCATTCATTTGGATCAGGAAGGGAAAATTAAATATGACACAATTGCTGGACAGGGACACTCCAAAGACAAGGTCATTTATAGCAAATATACTGACCTTGTTCCAAAGGAGGTTATGAATCCAGATGACCCAGAACTGCAAAGGCCTGATGAAGAGATGAGTAAAGAAATAACAGAAAGTACAAGAGCAGCCTTGGAGAAGATAGTATCAAGGAAGGTTACTGCGGCCATGCCAGTTCATGCAGCTGACAAACTGGCGCCTGCTCAGCTCAGTATAACCAGTACACTCCATCTCAGCAAGGATAAGCATTCGATTCTGGAGTGAAACCGAGGGTGATTCGCATGGTAGGAGTGCAGAAAGCCCCAATGGAGCCTCCAAGATTCAAGATTAATAAGAAATGTCCTCGGGGACCACCATCTCCTCCTACATCTGTAATGTACTCTTCTTCTGGGAAGAGGACTGTGAAGGAACAGCAGGAGTGGAAAATCCCTCTTTGTATTTCCAACTGCAAGAACTCTAAGGGGATTATTGTCACACTGTCTCTTAGGACTGTTCCTGGGGATTGCTCAGGAAGGAATTGCAGCCTGTGGACATTCCTTGAAGCTTTAGCTCCTCAGTTAGCTTAACATTCCCAATAAGAAATTACAACTTCTGAGAGCAGAGCTCAGCGGAAGTACACACATTCAGCATCTGAGACCTGGTGTTCCCCAGAGTAATAGAGAGACAGCTTCATGGGGCATTTTAAACTACACTAGAAATGATGCTTCTTTATTAAAGATAGGATTCTCCATGAAGGTCAAACTTCTAGGTTAGAATTATTTCCAAGAAAAAATTAAGCCAATCTCAATGTTCACTGGAGAAAGGACAACAGTTGAATGTTCAGGGGTAGGAGGTGGTGATTAGGGCTGTATCATTGTTTTATTTATTTATTTATTTATTTATTTATTTATTTATTTATTGCTGGCTATTCTGCTGTGTAGCATTGCTCTTCACAGTGCTGTCAGGAGTGGAGTTACATGCGTGTGATTCCTGCACACATGAAATGAAGCAGTGGGATAACAAGTTGAAGGCTACTCTGGACTACATAGCCAGATCCTGTCTAAAAAAATAAGGCCTAAAAATAAAACCTTTGTGTTGCAGAGCATGGTGGCACTCCCGAGACACAGTCGGGTGAACTTCTATAGGTTCGAGGCCAGTCTGCTCTAAAAGTGGGTTTCAGGACAGCCAGTGTTGCATTGAAAACCACAAGTACATAGAGAGTCTCAAAAAACAAACAAATGAACGGAAATCCTATGTCCCTCAGGTGCCAGAGCTTCCAGAATTAGTGAGGATATGTAAAATAAGGGATGCATTTCCTAATTCCTATTGCTTATAGGCTTGAAGTGCTACCCTATGTGTTACTTTGTGACAACATATATGTCATCTTTTAAGGTCCTTGTGGTCTGAGCATGCGTGTGGGGGGGTATTTTTACAGCATACAAAAGTAGGTTATATGTACAAGAAAAATTGAGTTATTTCAGAAATAATGTAGAACTGAACTCCCCCAAAAGAAGGAGTACATATCTTAAAGAAATCTGTAGTATGAGAGTAACTCACTTGGAAGTATACTTCTACTTCTAGCACTGAGGAGGCTGAGGCAGGAGGATGGAGAGTTTGAGGATGGTCAAAGTTAAATAGTAAGATCCTGTCTTTAAAACAACAACAACAAAGCAAATGAAGTGAATCATATAGTATATAATACAATGATTAAAGAAAAATAAAAGACAAGGGATATAAAAATGCCAGAAAGAAAGTCTTGTCAGAAGGGGGCTTACTTGTAAAAGCTAATATTCGTACAAAGACCTGGAATAAACCATGTGGCTATCTGGGAGAAGAACATTCTAGATAGAAAGATAGATGACTACAAAAGCCCTTGAGTTTACCCGAGTACAGCTGATTCTGTGCATAGGAGATGTGTCAGAGCAGCTAGGGATCTGACCCCAAAACAGCAGGTCAGCCCCATGACAGCACTGTCCCTGCTGCACCAGTGGGCTCACCCTGCCGGACAGGTCAGGATTGTGGTGTGCAGGGTCCAGCACTTGGATAACACCACTAATTCCTGCATTCCACCCCCCAGTGGCTTCTGTGGCACTATTAAAGCTGGCCAGAAGTCACCTTAGGTTTTTTTTTTTTTAATCATACTCTTTTTATTTTAAATTAAAAAAAATTGAATGCCAAGGAACTTTCTGCTGAGTGTCTAGGGCACCCTTCAACTAGGCATACTTATGCCTAGGTGAAAAGGAAGGATCCATTTACAAGCATATGGCATGATCCTGACCAGGTATCTAATATGGAGAAGAGGGCATGTTTGTGTTTTTTTTTCCTGCAGGATGCTATAGGAACATGGTGGCTGCCAGAATGATTGGTGAGACACGCTGTTGCTGAGACAAAGATGATGCTGACCTGTGAGCTTCCCAAGTGCCCTGACAATGGTGACTGGGAAGCTGTATTGGACATATGTTCCTGACCCACCTTTACTTGCCTATATCCCACATGGGACAAGCTGCCTTACCTCAAGTTTTTAGACCTTGTTGGACAGAGAGTCAATGACATCTGCTATCACCTGAGGTTTTGATCTTAGCCATTCTGACTGGTGTGAGGTGGAATCTCAGGGTTGTTTTGATTTGCATTGCCCTGATGACTAAGGATACTGAACATTTCTTAAGGTGCTTCTCAGCCATTCGAGTTTCCTCAGTTGAGAATTCTTTGTTTAGCTCTGTACCCCATTTTTAATAGGGTTATTTGGTTGTCTGGAGTCTAATTTCTTGAGTTCTTTGTATATATTGGATATTAGCCCTCTATCAGATGTAGGATTGGTAAAGATCTTTTCCCAATCTGTTGGTTGCCGTTTTGTCCTATTGACAGTGCCCTTTGCTTTACAGAAGCTTTGCAACTTTATGAGGTCCCATTTGTCAATTCTTGATCTTAGAGCATAAGCCATTGGTGTTCTGTTCAGGAACTTTTCCCCTGTGCCCAGGTATTTGAGGGTCTTCCCCACGTTCTCTTCTATTAGTTTCAGCCTATCTGGTTTTATGGGAAGGTCCTTTATCCACTTAGACTTGAGCTTTGTACAAGGAGATAAGAATGGATCGATTTGCTTTCTTCTACATGCTGACCTCCAGTTGAGCCAGCATCATTTGTTGAAAATGCTGTCCTTTTTCCACTGGATGGTTTTAGCACCTTTTGATGCTAAGATCAAGTGACCATAGGTGTGTGGGTTCATTTCTGGGTCTTCAATTCTATTCCATTGATCTCCCTGCCTGTTTCTGTACCAATACCATGTAGTTTTTTTTTTTTTTTTTTTTAATCACTATTGCTCTGTAGTACAGTTTGAGATCAGGGTTGGTGATTCCCCCAGAAGTTCTTTTATTGTTGAGAATAGTTCTTGCTACTCTGTTTTTTTTTTTTGTTATTCTAAATTGCTCTTTCTATCTCTATGAAGAATTGATTAGGAATTTTGATGGGTATTGCATTGAATCTGTTGATTGCTTTTGGCAAGATGGCCACTTTTACTATATTAATCCTGCCAATCCACGAGCATGGGAGATCTTTCCATCTTCTGATCTTCCTCGATTTCTTTCTTCAGAGACTTGAAGTTCCTGTCATACAGATCTTTCACTTGCTTGGGTAGATTCACACCAAGGTATTTTATATTATTTGTGACTATTCTGAAGGGTGTCATTTCCCTAGTGGCTTTCTCAGCCTGTTTATCCTTTAAGTAGAGAAAGGCTACTGATTTGTTTGAGTTTATTTTATATCCAGCCACTTGGCTGAAGTTGTTTATCAGGTTTAGGAGTTCTCTGGACAAAGTCTGAGGGCTGAGGGCTAGTGGACGTTTCGACAGCCGCCGACCCGCAGCTTGAGAGCCCCGCGCCGACTTTCGTGGAAGTCTGAGCTGGCTGTGCAGCTTTCCTCCTGTTCTGCAACCATGTCTACCAACGAGAATACTAATTCACCAGCTGCCAGGCTTTAACAGATTCAAGAACAAGGGAAAAGACAGTACAGAAATGTGTCGCCTCCGAATAGAAGTTAATGTGGAACTTAGAAAAGCTAAAAAAGATGACCAGATGCTGAAAAGGAGAAATGTCAGCTCATTTCCTGATGATGCTACTACTTCTCCACTCCAGGAAAACTGAAACAATCAGGGTACTGTAAATTGGCCTGCTGAGGACATTGTTAAAGGCATAAACAGTAACAATTTGGAAAGCCAGCTCCAAGCTACTCAAGCAGCTCGGAAACTGCTTTCTAGAGAGAAACAGCCTCCTATAGACAACATCATCCGGACTGGTTTGATCCTAAAATTTGTGTCCTTCTTGGGCAAAACTGATTGTAGTTCCATTCAGTTTGAATCTGCTTGGGCACTCACCAACATTGCTTCTGGAACATCTGAGCAGACCAAAGCTGTGGTAGACGGAGGTGCTATCCCAGCATTCATCTCTCTCTTGGCATCTCCCCATGCTCACATCAGCGAGCAAGCTGTATGGGCTCTTGGAAACATTGCAGGTGATGGTTCAGTTTTTCGAGACTTAGTTATCAAACATGGTGCAATTGACCCACTGTTGGCACTTCTTGCAGTTCCTGATCTGTTATCCTTGGCATGTGGTTACTTATGGAATCTTACCTGGACACTCTCAAACCTTTGTCGAAACAAGAATCCTGCGCCCCCCTTAGATGCTGTCGAGCTGATTCTTCCTACGTTAGTTCGGCTTCTGCACCACAATGATCCAGAAGTACTAGCAGATTCCTGCTGGGCTATTTCCTACCTGACTGATGGTCCAAATGAGCGGATTGAGATGGTTGTGAAGAAGGGAGTTGTTCCCCAACTTGTGAAGCTTCTGGGAGCTACTGAATTGCCCATTGTGACTCCTGCACTGAGAGCCATAGGGAATATTGGAACACTGGAACAGATGAACAGACTCAGAAAGTGATAGATGCAGGAGCACTTGCAGTCTTTCCCAGCCTGCTAACAAATCCCAACACTAATATTCAGAAGGAGGCCACGTGGACAATGTCGAACATTACAGCCAGACGCCAGGACAAGATATAGCAAGTTGTGAATCATGGCGTAGTCCCGTTTCTTGTTGGTGTCCTCTCTAAGGCAGATTTTAAGACACAGAAGGAGGCCGCGTGGGCTATAACCAACTATACCAGTGGTGGGACTGTTGAACAGATTGTGTATCTCGTTCATTGTGGGATAATAGAACCTTTGATGAACTTCTTGAGTGCAAAAGATACCAAGGTTATTCAGGTTATTCTTGATGCCATTTCAAATATCTTTCAGGCTGCCGAGAAACTAGGTGAGACAGAAAAACTCAGTATAATGATTGAAGAGTGTGGAGGCTTGGATAAAATTGAGGCACTACAGAGCCATGAAAACGAGTCTTTATACAAGGCCTCATTAAACTTAATTGAGAAGTACTTCTCAGTGGAGGAAGAGGAAGATCAAAATGGGGTGCCAGAAACTACCTCTGAAGGCTTCGCCTTCCAAGTTCAGGATGGAGCTCCCGGGACCTTTAACTTCTAATGTCTAGCCAAGGCACAAAGTTGTTAGCTATGTGCTGTGCTATTTCTGTGTTCTCATAAATTTGTCTTACTGTTTCTCTACTAAGAACTCTTTTTAAATGTGCTTTGTTACTGTAGTACTTTTTACAAAAAAACTATACTTGAACAGTTATAAACTGTACATACTCTATGAAGCTGTCCTCTGAGTTTATTTCTATGTGTAATTTCGTACCCTGTCATGTCCTGTAAATAAAGATTAAGTTCCATTCTTCTTTAAAAAAAAAAAAAGGAGTTCTCTGGTGGAAGTTTTAGGGTCATTTAAGTATACTATCATATCATCTGCAAATAGTGAAATTTTGACTTTTTCCTTTCCTTTCCTATTTGTATCCCTTTGGCCTCCTTCTGTTGTCTAATTGCTCTGGGTAGGACTTGCAGTACTATATTGAATAGGTAGGGAGAAAGTGGGCAGCCTTGTCTAGTGCCTGATTTTAGTGGGATTGCTTCAAGTTTCTCTTCATTTAGTTTGATTTTGGCTACTGGCTTGCTGTATATTGCTTTAACTATGTTGAGGTATGGGGCTTGACTTCCTGATCTTTCCAAGATGTTTACAATGAAGGGATGTTGAATTTTATCAAATGCTTTCTAAGCATCTAGTGAGATGATCATGTGGATTTTTTCCTTTGATTTTGTGTATATAGTGAATTACATTGATGGATTTCCAAATATTGAATCATCCCTGCATTCCTGGGATAAAGCCTACTTGATCATGATGGATGATTGTTTTGATATGTTCTTGGATTTGGTTTGTGAGAATTTAATTGAGTATTTTTGCATCGATATTCATAAGGGAGATTGGCCTGAAGTTCTCTTTCTTTGTTGGATCTTTGTGAGGTTTAGGTATGAGCATGATCGTGGCTTCATAGAATGAATTGAGTAGTGTTCTTTCTGTTTCAATTTTGTGGAGTAGTTTGAAGAGAATTAGTATTAGGTCTTCCTCGAAGGTCTGATAGAATTCTGCACTAAAACCATCTGGTCCTGTGCTTTGTTTGGTGGGGAGACTTTTAATGACTACTATTTCTTTAGGGGTTATGGGACTGTTTAGATGGTTTATCTGCTCCTGATTTAACTTTGGTATCTGGTATCTGTCTAGAAAGTTGTCCATTTCCTTTAGACCTCCAGTTTTGTTGAGTATAGGCTTTTGTAGTAGGATCTGATGATGTTTTGAATCTCCTCAGTTTCTGTTGTTATGTTTCCCTTTTCATGTATGATTTTATTAATTTGGATACTGTCTCTGTACCCTCTGGTTAGTCTGGCTAAGGGTTTATCTATCTTGTTGATTTTTCTCAAAGAACCAGCTCCTGGTTTTGTTGATATTTTGTATAGTTCTTTCAGTTTCTACTTGGTTGATTTCAGCCCTGAGTTTGATTATTTCCTGCCTTCTACTCCTCCTGGGTGTATTTGCTTCTTTTTGTTCTAGAGCTTTCAGGTGTGCTGTCAAGTTGTTAGTGTATGCTCATTCCAGTTTCTTTTTGTAGTCACTTAGAGCTATGAGTTTTTGTCTTAGCACTGCTTTCATGAAGTCCCACACTTTTGGTATGATGTGTCCTCACTTTTTCTTTCTTTCTTTCTTTCTTTCTTTCTTTCTTTCTTTCTTTCTTTCCTTCCTTCCTTCCTTCCTTCCTTCCTTCTTTCTTTCTTTCTTTCTTTTTCTTTTTTTTTTGTTTGTTTTTTCGAGACAGGGTTTCTCTGTGTAGCCCTGGCTGTCCTAGAACTCACTTTGTAGACCAGGCTGGTGTTGAACTCAGACATCCTCCTGCCTCTGCCTCCCAAGTGCTGGGATCAAAGAAGTGTGCCACCACTGCCTGGCCCTCATTTTCATTAAAGTCTAAAAAGTCTTTAATTTTTTTCTTTATGTCTTCCTTGACCAATGCATCATTGAGTAGAGCGTTGTTCAGTTTCCACATGTGTGGGACTGAGTAAGGGTATCCTGGGTCATGGTTGAGCAGGTGCCTAGAACCCCGAGATTCTCCGTGGAATTCTGCTCGAGAACCGGCAGGAGTTCGGTCCCCCCCATCATCCAGGATCCTGAAAAGCAGTTACAGTCTCCATAGAGTCACATAGGCCAGGCTATAGGCCTCAGGCCCTAGGGATTTACATACTAATGAAGGCCAGAGGGCAGAGCAAATTAAACATGCCTCCCCAGATCCTCCCCCAATCCTCCCCCTTTCTCCCTCCCTATATAACTTGGGACTGCCCTGAGTTTTGGGGGGGTACACCTAGATCCATCTATTATCTGCCATGACAATAAACCTTTTTGGAACCAAGGACTTCCTCGTGTTACTGGGGCCTGCCACCGCCAAGGCCCTCAGGCCGCTGGAACCATAGGATTTTCTCCCTAATGTGGGAGCCGCCACGGCGGCGGCCTTCTTTAATTTTCCCCACACACATGTATGTGGGCTTTCCATTGTTTTTGTCGTTATTGAAGACCAGCCTTAGTCCATGGTGATCTGATAGGATGCAAGGGATTATTTCAATTTTTTTTTTAATCTGTTGAGGCCTGTTTTGTGACCAATTATATGGTCTATTTTGGAGAGGGTACCATGAGGTGCTGAGAAAAAGGTATATTCTTTTGTTTTAGGATGAAATGTTCTATAGATATCTGTTAAATCCATTTTCCCCATAACTTCTGGTAATTTCATTGTGTATTTGTTTTGTTTCTGTTTCCATGATCTGTCCATTGCTGAGAGTTTGGTGTTGAAATCCCCCACTATTATTGTGTGAGATGCATTGTGTGCTTTGAGTTTTAGTAAAGTTTCTTTTATGTAAATGGGTGCCCTTACATTTGGAGCATAGATGTTCAGAATTGAGAGTTCATCTTGGTAGATTTTTCCTTTGATAAGTATGAAGTGTCCTTCCTTATCTTTTGTGATTACTTTTGGTTCAAAGTTGATTTTATTTGATATTAGAATGGCTATACCAGCTTGTTTCTTGGGGCCATTTGTTGGAAAATTGTTTTCCATCCTTTTACTCTGAGGTAGTGTCTGTCTTTGTCACTGAGGTGCATTTTCTGTATCCAGCAAAATTCTGGGTCCTGTTTACGTATCTAGTATGTTAGTCTACATCTTTTTATTGGGGAATTGAGTTCATTGATGTTAAGAGATATTAAGGAAAAATGATTATGGCTTCCTGTTATTTTTGTTATTAGAAGTGGAATTATGTTTGTGTAGCTATCTTCTTTTGAGGTTGTTGGAAGATTACTTTCTTGCTTTTTCTAGGTTGTAGTTTCCCTCCTTTTGTTGCAGTTTTCCTTCAATTATCCTTTGAAGTGCTGGATTTGTGGGAAGATACTGTGTAAATTTGGTTTTGTCATGGAATATCTTGGTTTCTCCATCTATGGTAATTGAGAGTTTTGCTGGGCATAGTAGTCTGGGCTGGCATTTGTGTTCTCTTAGGGTCTGTATGATATCTGTCCAGGATCTTCTGGCTTTTATAGTCTCTGGTGAGAAGTCTGGTGTAATTCTTATAGGTCTGCCTTTGTTACTTGACATTTTTCCCTTACTGCTTTTAGTATTTTTCCTTTGTTTTGTGCATTTGATGTTTTGATTATTATGTGATGAGAGGAATTTCTTTTCTGGTTTAGTCTATTTGGAGTTCTGTAGGCTTCTTGTATGTTCATGAACATCTCTTTCTTTAGGTTAGGAAAGTTTTCCTCTATAATTTTGTTGAAGATGTTTACTGGCCTGTTAAGTTGGAAATCTTCACTCTCATCTATACCTATTATCCTTAATTTTGGTCTTCTCATTGTGTCCTGGATTTCCTGGATGTTTTGGGTTAGGAGCCTTTTGCATTTTGCATTTTCTTTGACAGTTGTGTCAATGTTTTCCATGGTATCTTCTACACATGAGATTCTCTCTTCTATCTTTTGTATTCTGTTGGTGATGCTTGTGTCTATGACTCCAGATTTCTTTCCTAGGTTTTCTATCTCCAGGGTAGTCTCCCTTTGAGATTTCTTTATTGTTTCTACTTCCATTTTTAGATCTTGGATGGTTTTTTTTTTTTGGGGGGGGGTTGTTTTTTCGAGACAGGGTTTCTCTGTGTAGCCCTGGCTGTCCTGGAACTCACTCTGTAGACCAGGCTAGCCTCGAACTCTTGAACTCAGAAATCCACCTGCCTTTGCCTCCCAAGTGCTGGGATTAAAGGTGTGTGCCACCACCGCCTGGCGGTTTTTTAAATTCTTTCACCTGTTTGGTTGTGTTTTCTTGCAGTTCTATAATGCATTTTTGTGTCTCCTCTTTCAGGGCTTCTACTTGTTTACCTGTATTCTCCTGTAATTCTTCTTTTTTTTTTTTTTCAGAGTAAATGTGTTTTTAAGAAAAGAACTGACATTTGAGTGTGTAGGCAAAGGGGAATGGATCTTGGAAGAACTGAAATAGGAGAGAATATAATAAATAGCCGTTGTTTGAAGTTCTCAAAGAAGTTATGAAAAATAATCAAATTCTTTTGGAAACCAAAGATGGAACCATGTGTTTGTTTCCCCCCCCCCCACCCCAGGACTTACAAGAGTATGATAACATGGCAATTTATACAATGTGTAGTCATTGTAATATTTGTAAAAAGTAAACCACTGGGGTAATAAATCATACTGCAATCAGTTAACTTCATGTCTTCCCATCATAAACACCTCAAGTAGTTAAAAGAAAAACAATTTACTCATCAAGATAATTCAGAAATACACATTTTATAAGCTATGACTCTGGAGAATTTTAAATTAGCATTAATAAAGGCTTTGTGATTTTTTTTCAGGTTTTTTTATTCTTTATATTTAATTTTTTAAATTAGTAACTTTTTAAAAAATGTTAATCAAAGGCTGTATAAGTTTGGTAATGCTCAATAACAAGATACCCATATAATCAGAAGTGTAACCCAATACCCAACCTAGATATACCAGCTCTCTTTGATTGGTGGAGACACACGAACATCAGCCTCCATGTACCCCTTCCTCCCCCGCCCCCCTAATTCTTTAAGGGAGTTATTTATGTCCTTCTTAAAGTCCTCTATCGTCATCATGAGAAGTGATTTTAAATCTAAATCCTGCTTCTCTGGTGTGATGGGGTGTCCAGGGCTTGCTATGGTGGGAGAATTGGGTTCTGATGATACCAAGTAAATTTGGTTTCTGTTGCTTATGTTCTTAAGCGTGCGTTTCGCAACCTGGTTAACTCTAGTGCTACCTGCACACACTGTCTCTGATTGGAGCCTGTCTTTCCAGTTATCTTGCTTGTGTCAGAACTTCTCAGAGTCCAGATGTCTCTGTGGTCCTGTGATCCTGAGCTCTCTGCTCCTGAGCTCAGTGGTTCCTCTAGGATGGCTCAGGATATGGTGTCTTCTCGGAGCAGAGCAGCTAGGTGTCTGCCCAGCAAAAAGGACCAAGTGAGAGGTGGAAAGGGTCACCTTAGTTTTTGAAACAAAGCCTTTCTGCTTGGAGCTCACAAATTTAGCTAGGCTGGCTGTGCAGCAAGCTCCAACAAAAGCGTGTACATGGTTCTCGTTTCTTTCCATTTGTAAAAAGATCAGTGTGGTGTGGTGTGTGTGTGTGTATGCTGATATGGATGTGTGCATGCACATACCCATTAAATGTTCATGTGGAGGCAAGAGGGTGACATTGAGTGTCCTGGCTCAATCACTATTTGTATTTTTGAGAAAGGGTCTTACTGAGTTGGAAGCTCCCCAGCTGGCTGACTAGAGGAGTTTTCGACAGACACACACTTCAATGTGTAGCTGTCTACCTGGCTGCTAGAGATCCACACTCAGATCCTCAGGCTTGAACAGCAGACTCTTTAGCAACTCAGTCATTTCCCCAGCTCTGTCTTTGCATTTTATCATGACAATTCTCAAACATGAGGAGGAAGAGCTGAAAAGCTATGTATGATGAAATGAACCTCTCTCCACCTGGACTCTGGTTAATTTTTTGTAACAATTAGCATGACTGGATTTCCTTCATCACCACATGCTCTCCTCTCCCACAGTCCAGCTTCCTACTTAGGTGGATTTCAGTAACTTGTAGCTGACCTAGGGGTCTCCACAAACTGGATTTAAATTGACTGCAGTTAATGTTAAAGGGCTGAGTGTGGCCACAAAGAAGTGGTGGTGCACACCTGTAATCCCAGCAGCTGGATGGGATACAAAGGCCAGAGTTTGAAGCTAGCCTAGGCCATGTCTCACAAAAAAAAAAAAAAGAAAAGAAAAGAAAAGAAAAAAAACCATGGTGTTTTCTAAGGTTGATGAGCCTCTTGTCCAAAATATGAGAAGCTAATAGAGTGACAAGCTGATTTTCAACTGTGTCCACAGAGGATGGAGAGGCCCATGAAAGAGATGAAATCCGTCATGATAGGCGCAAAGAGAGGCAGCACGACCGGAACCTTTCCAGGGCAGCTCCTGATAAGAGGTGGGTTGTTACCTGCATAAATGTGAGTCAGGAAGAAGGGCAGTTCTTTAGCTTGGTAATAAAATGAGAACAAACTTTGCCACGATCAAATGATTTATCTTAACAGAATTCAAGCTCCCACGCCCGGCAGTGGTGGCGCACGCCTTTAATCCCAGCACTTGGGAGGCAGAGGCAGGCAGATTTCTGAGTTCGAGGCTAGCCTGGTCTACAGAGTGAGTTCCAGGACAGCCAGGACTACACAGAGAAACACTGTCTCGAAAAACCAAAAAAAAAAAAAAAAAAAAAAAGCTCCCTATGAGGTTCCCTAGTCATCCTTCACCTTGTAGAACTAGTAGTTAGTCCTGAGAATGTCAGGCATAGGAAAGGGAATCCAGATCATGTCTGTGCAGAAGGGTAGGATCAGGCCTGGAGGGCTGGCAAAGATATGGCTCAGAGTATCTACAGGCCCAGTAAAAGTCTGGACAAGGACAAGGATGTGTATGGTGATGACCTCGAAACCAGGATAAAGACCAACAGGTACCAAAGCAGACAGCTGATGGTTGGTTCTGTTTATGCCAGTAAAACAGAAGTAGTTCATGACCTCTTCTCCTTTTCCCCCAGATTTGTTCCTGATAAGGAGTTTTCTGGTACAGACCATAGACAGAGGGGCCGAGAAGGACCAGTTCAGTTTGAGGAAGATCGTTTTGGTTTGGACAAGTTTTTGGAAGAAGGAAAACAGCACCATGGCTCTAAAAGATGCTCTGATAGCAGTCACTCCAAGGAACATGAGCGTGAAGGCAAGAAGCAGAGGAAGCAGTAGAGGGGCCTCTTAAAACTAAATCTGACATATACAGCAGAGGACTGGGTGGTCTGGCCTCAGTGAGAAGAGATACACCTAACCTTTGAGACACTTGAGACCCCAGGGAGTGGGGACATCCTCTTGAAGCAAGGGGAAGAAGAATGGAATGAAGAATTGTAAGAGGGGAGACCTGGAGGGGAATAAAGACTGGACTGTAAAAAAGAAAAGACTAAAGATAAAAACAAACAAACAAACCCTAAATCTCTGTGATAGAACCTAGAACTCTGTTTTACTCCAGGAGATAGAAGGGGTGAATATTCTACATCAGAGTGATGTGTATCTGTGACTGCATGTGTGTGCAGGTACACATGTTGGGTGTGTACAATGGGAATCTATCCGTATGGCAGCCAAGTACAATCTCAATGTCTTTCCTTACGTGCCACCACCTTTTCTTTTTCTTTTTCTTTTTCTTTTTTTTAAAGACAGGATCCCATTGACCTGCAATTTGACAAGTAGTCTAGCCAAGTTCTTGGGATCCCTCAGTGGGTGCCACCCTGGTGCTAGAATTTCAAGCATGCACTGCTAGACCTCGTTTGTTTTTCTGGGAGGGCTCCTGGGGATCAGACTGAGGTTCTCATGTTTGAAAGAGAAGTACTTTACTTAACTGAGGTGTCTCTTCAGCAACCTTTGTGAATCAGAATCCTAAACAAGTTTCTTGGAGTAGGATAAATCGGTATGTATTTGATTACATTCGATGTTCTATACTAATCTGGATGCTTTATGTATATTTTTGTATTTAATCTTCATGATATATGCTATCCCTATCATCATTATACTCCATTTTAGAATTGAGGAAACTATGGTCCAGAGACCTGATTGTCTAAGATCACTGTGTAGATCAGTGGTTCTCAGCCTTCCTAGTATTTGGACCCTTTAATACAACTCCTTGTGTTGTGATGATCTCAGCCATAAAATTATTTTGTTGCTACTTCATAACTCTAGTTTTGATGCTATTATGAAACATAACATAAATATCTGATATGCATGTTATCAGATATGTAACCCCTATTGAAGTCAAAGACTGAGAACTACTGCCATAGACACTGTGTTGAGCCCAGGCCACACCAGGCTGATTCCAAGGCTGCCTTCTGGAATTGGGAGTTCCACTTGAACCAGTGATGGAGTCAGAAAGAAAGCAATTTCTGGTAACCATGTAAGGCTAAAGACAGTTACACCCTAGGGTCTTCAGCCGATTTTAATAAGAATTGAGCAAATGATGAGTGGTAATTCTTCATAACTAACAAGTTATTGACCACAGAGTGAGTTCCAGGACAGACAGGGCTACATAGAGAAACCCTGTCTCGAAAAAAAAAAACCCCAAAAACAAAACAAAACAAAAACAAAACAAAAAAACAAAACAAAAAAAAAAAAAAAAGAAAATTGGATTCCAACCTTCCCCACACCATTAATCGACCACGGGTCTTGGGTTTTCTCATGTAAAGCAAAGGATTTCATGGATGGAATGCTAAGGGCCCTTCCAACCTTCATTGTCCATGATTCTTCAATTATATAGCAAGTTCTGATCTCCTGTAGATGTCCACACACTGAAAATGTGATACTACTATGGAGAGCAGCGCTGAGTAAGCCCCTGAACTGAATAGTCTCTGTGTTTATCCCAGAGGTTTTTTCCACCCTTCCCTTCCCTCTGCCCTCGAAGCCTGGCCTCTATACTGGCTACATGTCCAGGGCTCAGCAGCTTTGTCCAAATACTTAAAAGGGACAGAAATGTTCATTTTGGTTCATACTTTGATGATTTCTGTCTGTGGCCAGCCAGTTCCCAGCGGAGTGTGCCTATGTGAACAGCGTCATGGTAAGAGGAGCATGTGACAGAGAAAGATGGCCATCTCAGGAGGCAGGAAGTAGAGTAAGCCACCCATCTGTCTTCCACTGGTGTTCAGCCTGTTGAGTAGGTCTTTCTTAGGCCTCCCCACCTCAACTAACCTAATGTACAAAATTCCTCAAATGTGCCTAGAGATTTGTTTCCATGGTGATACTAAGCCCCATCAAGAAGGCAATAAAAGTTAACCATCACAGCAACAGTGTACAAGAGGTAAAATGGCTTCTCCAAAAATGCCACACTATGTTCTTCTGTTCACACCATGTTCCTCTGTTTATCATAAGAAGAGTGTGTCTCTATTGTGGCAGAGGACCAAGGAAGAAAAGAGAGAGGGAGAGGGAAGAAATGGAGGATCAAGAGAAATATCAGAAACCAGACTTTCCCAGGAGTGGTGGTGTTCACCTTTAATTTAAGTACTACTGAGGTAGAGGCAGGAGGACCTCTGTAAGTTTGAGGTCAGCCTGGTCTACATAATGAATTCAAGGACAGCCAGGGCTATATACAGAAACACAGTCTTAGAAAAAAAAAAAAAGAGGAGACAGAAACCAAGCTTTTGTCCAAAGGGGAAAGAAAGCAAAAGGAAAGAAAATAAAGCATTGCCCAAATGCAACTGTAGCAAGCAATTAGAGAACAATGGATCAATGCTTCCTGTAATTGGAGGGAGAAAACCCATCAGAAACATCAGAGCTCCTTGGTCTCTGTTGACCCTCTGCACCCAAAGTAGATCTGGCCTCATGTGAGAGGCAGACCAAGGGCTTTAATGTCAGTTTTAGTAGTCTTGGTGAATTAAATCTCATTCTGCCAGGAAAGGGGCACATAGCAGGCAGCACAGACTCTCTTACTAGGAGAGACAGCAATTGAAAATTCTAGTCATGCTGAGGCCAATGGGATCCTGAGAGACAAAAGGGTCTACTTGCTGATGTCTGATTGTGGGTGAAAGACTCCTGGATTGGGGAGACCCCCACTCAAGCCACAGGAAATCACAATTACCCAGAATCACTGGAGAGACCAAACTTGTTACAGACTGCAAAAGGCTTTATTTCTGTATAGGGATATCAGCCGGCTGAGGCCGAGGCTCACAAGAGGAGCATCGACCCCCAGGCTCGGGAGCAAGGGGTATTTAAAGGAGAAAACCACAAACCAGGGGGGTGAAGAGGGAAACCAAGAGGGAACAGTGGAAAATCCCAACCCACATCATAAAAATAGTAGAAAATTCTTAACTCATTATTTAGCTGGTCATAAACCAGGGTGAGGAGTGGGAAACATCCTATACACATTATATTCAGGAATGTGACCTTAACCTGACCATTCTCTTGTGGTCAGCTACTTCCTGGAGTGACTTAGCCAACCTGTATTAGTTCAGCTATTCTTTGTCATAAGGACCTTGCTGACCTGTCCCCTGGCTAGTTCTTTCTTTGGGTGGCCAGCTAGTTCCTGGAACCTAGGCCTGTGAACTTGCTAACCTTAATTCAGATGGGGGGGGGGTGTCTCAAACTTCTCTATGAATTTTTACATCTCTTCAGTGGGTAGAAGGACAAAGTGTCATTTGTGTAGGAGGAGCAAGCAGATGGGCTTTGGCACCATCTCCCATGCTCCTTTTGCAAAATTCCAAGATGCAAATCCTTACATTTGACAGTAAGCATGGGTTAGCAGCTAACACAGTTGTGAAGGATTACTCAAGAGTTAGAATCTCTGTCTTATACGTCAACTACATTCATGTTCATTCACCACAGAGCAGCTCACAACCGTCTGTAACACAACCTCAGTCCAAGGGGATCAAATCACTTCTCCTGGCCTCCAAGGACACTGCATGCATGTGACTCACAAACAACAGAGAGGCTTTCTTCTGTGAGGCAGGTTATTGGTGCTGGCACACAGGCCCAGTGGATTAACATCTGTCTTAGTTAGAATTAATCTTTCTTTCTTTCTTTCTTTCTTTCTTTCTTTCTTTCTTTCTTTCTTTCTTTCTTTCTTTTTCATTTTTCGAAACAGGGTTTCTCTGTGTAGCCCTGGCTGTCCTGGAACTTACTCTGTAGACCAGGCTGGCCTTGAACTCAAATCTGCCTGCCTCTGCCTCCCAAGTGATGGGATTAAAGGCGTGCACCACCACTGCCCTGCTTAGTTAGGATTTCTATTCTTTTGATGAAACACCATGACCAAAATCAGCTTGAGGAAGAAGGATTTATTTCACTTACATTTATGCTTGCCAGAGAACACTTCACTGAAGGAAGTCAGGAAAGGAACTGAAGGCAGAAACTGATGCAAAAGCCATGCAGGAATGAGACTCATTTGTTTGCTCCTCCTGCCTACTTTTTTATAGCACTTAGGAACACTAAGTGTGACCTCACTCAAAACAGGGTGTGGTCCCTCCCACACTGATCACTGATTAAGCAAATGCACTATAGACTTGCCTACAGGCCAGTCTTCTGGAGGCATTTTCCTCAATTGAGAGTTCCCTCTTTCCAAATGACCCTAGCTTGTGTCAAGCTGACATAAAGCTAACCAGAACAACAGCCAAAGGTGGAGGTCCCATACAATAGGGCATGGTGGTTTACACCTGGAATGAAATCACTCACAAAGCTGAAGCAGGAGCTTCATGTAGTAAAGGTCAGCCCCGGGCTACGGGGGCCTAAAAATCTCAGCCATCACATGATCTCTAAATGAATCTTTTGTTCGCCATAAGCCTAGCTTACTGCTCTTGTAAAGAAATGTTATGTAAGTATTATATTTATTATATAAATATTATATTAACATTTATTTTATGAGAGCTTAAAGTACATCCTACATATACAACACTATATAGAATACAGTGTCTTGTCATTGGGGAGATGACACATAGATAAGAGCACTGACTGGGTTTTTCAAGCTGCACCCAGAAGTGGAGCCTGTGCTCTGGATCCCCACCTACTCAGCCCAGACACAGCTTGACCCACAGGTGTTCTGACACATCTAGGATCACAGGTGAGACTCTAACCCCTGCCCTAATACCTGGCCTAACAGGGACCACCTGGAACCAGGAGACAGAGCAACCCGGTCCAGCCACACAGGCTCTGTCCAGATTGCTCCTGTGTGCTGGAGCAGAGCCTGTGCTCTGGATCCCATGCACTGATCCCACAACCAGATG